GCGACGCTTCTTGCGGGAAACTGAACGCGTCTTTGTGGCGGGAGAGGGAGGCGGAGGGTGGCTGGAAGCTTCCCAGACCGGGGATTCCCAAATTCCAGTCCCTGGGCGCTAAAGGGGACGTAAATGCCACATGACTAGGTGTCCTAACGCATAACTTGGGGACGGGAACACGGGGCGGGGGCTTCGGGCACCTGGGTTTGGTTCTCACAGCCAACAGCGTTCGGGCAGTTTCCGTTCTCCGTGCCTCAGTTTACCAACCACTAACATGGGGACACTAAAGCTCCGCTCCCCTTCTCAACGCCCTATCGCAGATCTGGGTGTTACCGCCCCCCGAAGGCTGTCTGTCTGTCTGTCCATCGCTCCTGCGCTACATTGTCCGCTCTGGATCAACCCTAAGCTGTAGAACAGTGTGAATCTGCTTCTCTCCTCCCGGTGCTTCCCCGCTCTCCCCCGCGCCCTCCCTCCGCTGTTCCACAGCCCACAGTCAGTCTGTGGAACTCCTTGCCAGAGGAGGCTGTGAAGGCTAAAAGAGTTTTTTAGAAGAGCTAGATAAATTCATAGAGGTTAGGTCCATAAAACGCTATAGCCAGGGGGTAAGGGTGTCCCTGGCCTCTCTTTGTCGAAGGCTGGAGAAGGATGGCAGGAGACAAGTCGCTTGATCATTATTTCAGGTCCACCGCCTCTTGGGCACCTGGCACTGGCCACTGTCGGCAGACAGGATACCGGGCTAGATGGACCTTTGGTCTGACCCAGTAATGGCCACTCTTATGTTCTTATGGCTTCTCTCTCCAGCCCTAGCCAGGGAGCTCAGCGGGAAATGCAATCCCAGCCCTCCGGGTGCGCGTTAAGGGGGAGGGGATGCAAATCGAATCAGGGCGTTCGCTGTTTAAAGCCTGCGGCTCCCTTCCGGCTCAGAACGTGCCGCGCCTAGTGCCCCCCGGAGGAGCTCTCTAGGGACCTTCTCCTGCGAACACGCGTCATGTTCTTGCTGCTTTTCCTCCTCACTGGGGCAGCTACCCAAGGTCTGTTTCCTTGGGAGAGAGGGAAGGGGAGGGGATGGAGATCCTCTGGGTGTTAAATGGTCTGCGGGAGTGTCCCACTGGGCATCATTAGCAGCAGGAAGAGAGAAAGAAACAGGAATGCGATTAGCCGCAGCAGAGCTAATAAATTTCACCCGTGGCGTGAGCGGGGTTCCCTGAGTTGTACTTGTGCTTTTCTATCCCCAGGGGCTGCGGCTCAGGCCCAGCTGGTGGAGTCCGGAGGAGATACCAAGAAGCCCGGAGAATCTCTGCGCCTCACCTGCAAAGGCTCCGGATTCGATTTCAGCCAGTTCGGTTTACACTGGGTCCGACAAGCTCCCGGGAAGGGGCTGGAGTGGGTCTCTGTGATATACTACGATGGGAGTCAGGAGTATTACGCGGAGTCTGTCAAGGGGCGATTCACCACTTCCAGGGACAACTCCCTGAGCCAGGCCTATTTAGACATGAGCAGCCTGAAGCCAGAGGACACCGCCCGGTATTACTGTACGCGGAGTCTGTCAAGGGGCGATTCACCACTTCCAGGGACAACTCCCTGAGCCAGGCCTATTTAGACATGAGCAGCCTGAAGCCAGAGGACACCGCCTCCGGCATCTCCCTGCCCGGCTCCCACCCGCTCCCAGGACCACCTGGCTTCCCTGCGAGGCGCGGGGCAGCGGCGCCCTCTGGTGGCGAGAGCTAGAAAGTGACCCCGCTAGCGCGGGGCTTATTGAAACGCGGGGCAAGAGGAGCAGCCGCCCCGCTCGCTCTGCCCTATATTCGCCGCTGATCGCTCCCCTGCTCTGGGCGGGAGCAGCACTTCCACGGGGAATCCCGCGCCAGCCGAGCAAGAAAGTCACAAGGCTCCCGTGTCTGTGTGTGATCGGATCTGAACCAGCAATTGCGTGGAGCGCGCATCTCTGCTGTTTCATGTCCCACGTTTTTTTCGGAGGCCAAGCCCCACACAGAGGTACAGTGGGGAAGGGCCCGTGCTGGAGGGAAATCCGGGTTGTTAACATCAGCCGGGGCGTGGATGGGACAGCGTGGGAGGATGTCGAATGGAACACGCGTGGCCGTGGGAATGGGAATGTGGCTGCAGCGAGATGGTTCTAGTGCCTGGGAATGGAAGGGTTTTATTGTGTGTTATCTTATTTTGTTTTTATTTAGTAGCACTAGCTCTATTGGAATCACTCAGTGTTAATCCGCGGGGCCGGTCCCT